ATTGGAACGTAATGGGAAACCACTCCACGTTTTTTTTTTTCATGATGTTAGGTTAATTTATAGATGATTAACGTATGGTATTTGCGGAGAGCCATAATCGCCTACGTCCTGGAGGAATATAGTATCTTTAAAAAAAAAAAGACCTGTTCTCACAATGAGTTGAAAACTGCTGAGTGTTCTACTGAGTCAAATGCCCCCGTAAATTGCTGGGTAGACTGGGTTATTTAGTCTTAAATGGCAATCAGTCAAGGAGAAGGGCAATTCAAAGAAGTCATTGCAATTCACATATAATAAAAAAAAAAAGAAATCTGTGAAAAGCTACATTCGTTTGAGACCCAGCATGTTACCCTGACGATCTTCCATATGTTGTAGGATAATTTGATTTGATTTGGTAAATAAAAACAATTTCAACAAGTAAGAACTATCAAGCTTTTTAATAGTAGCAACAGTTTTAGCAAAACTTTATTGATATTGTAAACATTTCACAAGTTACAGTTGGTGCGCGGAAAATGTGGGTAGGAAAGGCTTGAAGTTATTTGATTGACATATTGGGATGAATATTATGATATAATCGGAAGTAAATGTCAAAAACCTCTTGCGGATGAACGAATATTGGTCATTTTAGCATGAGGCTCTCTTTCGAAAACAGAAGACTTGGTTTAGGTACACTGTTTGAAAAAGCATTCCCCTGAATTGTAACATCTTTATCGCAACCAAGAATAGAAAAAATTGGGAAACAAAAGTGAATATTGAAAACCTATATTTTCAAATAAAGATGTAAAATAACACATATTTCCTTCAGTCACCCTAACTTTCTGGGTTGTTTAATCCTTTATCAATTGCAAATACGTTTCAGCATCGGTAAGGATGAAACTGGGAAAATGTCCGATGTACGTTCAACAATGAAATATAACATGGGGAGAAGAAAAGTCTCAAATATGGTCATTTCGAAAGAGAAAGACAAAGTCTCTTGGTTCCGATAAACAGTGTCCTTTATTCATGGATCAGTTCATCTGACACTGTAAAGGTAAAAGTAGGTGACACTTAGGATATCTTCCCTGCTATTTCTCTCTTCTCTCAAGATCGACTGACGAGCCAGATCTTTCCTTCACTCAACAAGAACTACATCTCTTCCCAATCTGACCGTGTTTCTGACTTTGTCCCTTTCCTGTTTATGAATGTGACTGTTCATGATCTAGAATGAAACCTGACTGTATAAGCTCATGAACGGAATTCACTAGCTTCCGGTCGAGTGTCACTTGATCCCAAAAGATTCTATTTATTTGTTTTATTCCTTTTTCCTACTTATGGACAGCGAAGGGTTGCTCAAAATCCTTACATCTCGGTTTTAGTGTTGGTTGTCCTAATACCTTGGTCGCTACAGACCAAGACTATGTTGAGACATAAGTGATTGTTGTTTGGGGAAATCAATTGTAATGTCGAATGTATCATCCTAACTAACCGTTCCTTAAATGTTTCATAACAAGTCAGGAAAAATCGGTTACATGCGATAATGTTCAACGCTAAAAGATTGACCAGGTCAAATCTCCACAACGAAGTTTACTCATCTCTTTATTACTTGACTGTCGTTCATCATTTCAAAGAAAATATTCTGAAGTACTACTCTATGCCAAGTAATTGGTCAAAACTTGGATCACATTAAAATGACAGTAGAACGATTCCTTTGTAGTCTAATGATGAGCTAATACAATTATTCTGTGTCAAACTAGGCGAAACTAATATATATATATATATATGTGTGTGTGTGTGTGTGTCTTATGGGACCTACCTTTATGGACTAAATGGACTCGTCCTGTTACTATGTACATGGGGAGATTATGCCTCTTAAGAGAGCTGTCTACAGTTGACCAGCAGTCTCTGACTGTGTGCGACTTCTGTCGAAATCTCTGCTTTGGCAGAGAGGAACCCGGATGAAGCTTTGCCGAAGGGAAAAGTTTCGTCCGGGGAGGTAGACAGGCCCTGAACCCGTCTAGGCGGGTTCAAGGGGTATATTTTTGGCCGAGCCTACGGGCTCGGAGAAACCCACGTTAAACTCGGCCTTGTGTCACATACATTCATCGTGGGGGGACTGTTAAATATTGCTGTCTACCGTTGACGAGTTGACTACTGTACTTTGCCGTCAGTCGGACGTGCAACACTTTTGTATTCATACTTTTTGTTAATAATGTTTTCACTAAATTGCTGAATTCGAGTTTTCTTTCGGACCTATACTGGGTCCACAACAATATATATATATATATATATATGTGTGTGTGTGTGTGTGTGTGTGTGTGTGTGTGTGTGTGTGTGTGTGTGTGAATATGTTAGCGCTATCCCCGATTTTCCGATTTTGAACACTTTAACGCATAAATATAGCATATCTTAAAACTATATTTTGTTTTGGGGATAGGTATGAATCCTCTTCTTCTCCCTCCAACTATGGGCAAATAGCAGGACAGATTGGGTTCTATAGCTTTGGATGGCAACTGCTCTAGGAGAACAACAACTCTGAATTCAAAACCTGCGGAAGTTTGTTTAGGGACCTTGTGGCACATAGTGTACCAGGTCTCTCTATTCGGCCCTTCAAAAAGTGTGGTTGGTTCTGCACAAAGCCTTCACCACTATAATCAAATAATATGTGCTGGTGTCTGGGCTGTCGGTTCCTAGGAACTGGGCTGCTTGACCCTCATACGTCAAGTACAACGGGAGAGTCCACCATATAAAAAGCTGCTTGACACTCATACGCCGAATACGACGGAAAAGTTCACCATATATGTGTGTGTGTGTGTGTGTGTGTGTGTGTGTGTGTGTGTGTGTGTGTGTGTGTGTGTGTGTGTGTGGTAAAGTTACTCTGTCGGTGTTTTTTCTTTTGACTAGGCATTGCGGTGCTGATTGATTATTTTCCACCAACACGGATGTCTTTAGTTTTTTTTGTTTTTTTTTTCTTTTTTATTGAATTTTTGTCCCTCGCATCGGTTTGTTCAAATATATTTTTATTTACAAATTGTATTACCCCGGTTTTTTCACACCGCCTGAGTATAGGTATTAAATAATTAAAATAATATATATATATATATATATATATATATATATATATATATATATATATTAAAAGAAATGCCGCAAACGTTTTGGTTGTAAAATTTTTGAGAAAAATATTATACTTTGTTTTTACATAATTTCACGACACGTGTTTTGGTCTAAAAGGTGAAAAACATATTATTAAAATAATTAATTTTTCTTCATGTTCAATGTGGAATTATTTTTAATAAATGAACACCTGAAGACGGTTGTGATTTTATAAACAAAGTATAATATTTTTTGTCAATAAATCTCATTACTTTTTTATTTAATATACATGTTGGAATATTTACAACATATTTCTTTTTTATATATATATATATATATTGAACAATAAGAAAATAAAAAAAATTAATAAATTATTTTTTGAACAATAAGATGGGTTGTAGATTAATATTCTTTCGTTTTTTTTTATTATTATTCCATTTAGATTCCTCGACTAGTTTCGACCGAAATGGCCATCATCGGGAGGAGAAATATTTCTGCTTGCTGATAGCAGTGAACTACAGAAAAAAAAAATATATATATATATATATATATATATATATATATATATATATTCAATAAATTAATGAAACGTTCGAAGGATCTATCTGGTTAGTCGACTCGAGAGTTACGCGTGGAAACGTTCATTTGGGCCAAATGTTTGATAAATCTATTTAGCAAGTAAATATAACTCTTCAGTCGGCTAACCAGATAACCAGATAAGTCACTTGAAAGTTTCTTAATCTATTCAATATTACAGATCTAGTTATATATTGGGCACTTTTTGGCAGAAGTTCTGCTAACCTGAAAAAAAAAAAAAGAACATGCAAAATTCTCATAATTTTCACGTATTTTCTCAGTTGTATAGGGTGGCCCAAAAGTCAACGAGAGATTTAAAAATGTCAATTCAGATTTTTCATACATTTTATTTTATTTTATTTTATTTTCAAGACAAATTACCTATGGAAAAATTCCCGACTGAGGAATGGACTTAAATCATGGAATTGTATTTTAGATTTAACCAATCTACCATTCATCCCCAAAGAGAATACTGCTGACACTTCAATGCTAGAAAAGCACCATCGGATTTCATCATTCGTCAGTTGATTCAACGCTTGAGGCACAATTTCTTTGGGGATAACTTAAGGAGTGTGTATGCATCAATAAATCAAAAACAATTTAACAACGCAGAGATAACATCTGTGCAGAAATTCGAGGACCAGTCAGAGTAATTAACCGTTGTTATGGATAATGCTATAGAAAGAGTGTGACTGTGTGAAGTCGAAAATAGAGGACTTTTACGATATATAATTTTTCATAATTAAATGGGGATATATTTTTGTTTTAATTTTCATTCTGTATAAAACTATTTTTCATTACTAAAACAACACATGGAAAGTATATCTTTAAATCCCGAGGTGACTTTTCGGATGTCTTGTATTATTATTATTATTATTATTATTATTATTATTATAATATAAGGTTCCTTCAATAATTGTTAGCCGGAAATTGACATTCTATTTTCAGAAATGTAAATAAAATTGTAATATTTTCTGATGCAATATTGCCAACTGGGACAAGTTTTCTATTCATATCTTCCACACCCAAATTTAGGTGAGGGTCAAAACTGAAATTACTAGATTAGTCATCTAGTGACTCGGATGTCATTGAGGGCATTAAATTAGTTTACCCTTTTTTATATATTTTCAAAATATTATCATTATTAAAGACTATATATGTATATATATATTGTATTCTATGTATTATATATATATATATATATATATATATATATATATATATATATATATATATAGATAGAGAGAGAGAGAGAGAGAGAGAGAGAGAGAGGGAGAGACAGACAGAGATATTGTACATTGAGTGCTGGTACTAATAAAATATTAGTTTTCAATCACTACCTGACGATATCGTTGTCAACACACACTTGTGCTATAGATGAGGAAAAATGTATATTTATTATTAATATAGATACATATATCTTTAAGAAAGAAAGAAATAAATAAAGAAAGAAAGAAAGAAAGAAAGAAAGAAAGCAATGATATAAGAACGAAACAAGCACACAAAAAAGTAAATGATATAAGAAAGAAAGAAAGAAAGAAAGAAATGGATGATATAAGAAAGAAAGAAAAAAGAAAGAAAGAAAGAAAGAAATGGATGATATAAGAAAGAAAGAAAGAAAGAAAGAAAGAAAGAAAGAAAGAAAGAAATGGATGATATAAGAAAGAAACAAACACACAAAAAAGTAAATGATATAAGAAAGAAAAAAGAAAGAAAGAAATGGATGATATAAGAAAGAAAGAAAGAAAGAAAGAAAGAAAGAAAGAAAGAAATGGATGATATAAGAAAGAAACAAACACACAAAAAAGTAAATGATATAAGAAAGAAAGAAAGAAAGAAATGGATAATATAAGAAAGAAAGAAAGAAAGAAAGAAAGAAATGGATGATATAAGAAAGAAACAAACACACAAAAAAGTAAATCATATAAGAAAGAAAGAAAGAAAGAGAGAAAGAAAGAAATATATGATAGAAGAAAGAAAGAAAGAAAGAAAGAAAGAAATGTATGATATAAGAAAGAAAGAAAGAAAGAAAGAAAGAAATGGATGATATAAGAAAGAAAGAAAAAAGAAAGAAAGAAAGAAAGAAAGAAATGGATGATATAAGAAAGAAACAAACACACAAAAAAGTAAATGATATAAGAAAGAAAGAAAGAAAGAAAGAAATGGATGATATAAGAAAGAAAGAGAAAAAGAAAGAAAGAAAGAAAGAAAGAAAGAAATGGATGATATAAGAAAGAAAGAAAGAAAGAAAGAAATGGATGATATAAGAAAGAAACAAACACACAAAAAAGTAAATGATATAAGAAAGAAAGAAAGAAAGAAAGAAATGGATGATATAAGAAAGAAAGAAAGAAAGAAATGGATGATATAAGAAAGAAAGAAAGAAAGAAAGAAAGAAAGAAAGAAAGAAAGAAAGAAATGGATGATATAAGAAAGAAAACAAACACAAAAAAAGTAAATGATATAAGAAAGAAAAAAAAGAAAGAAAGAAATGGATTTATAAGAAAAGAAAGAAAGAAAAAAGAAAGAAAAAGAAAGAAAGAAAGAAAGAAAGAAAGAAATGGATGATATAAAGAAAGAAACAAACACACAAAAAAGTAAATGATATAAGAAAGAAAGAAAGAAAGAAAGAAAGAAAGAAAGAAAGAAAGAAAGAAATGGATGATATAAGAAAGAAAGAAAAAAGAAAGAAAGAAAGAAATGGATGATATAAGAAAGAAAGAAAGAAAGAAAGAAAGAAAGAAAGAAAGAAAGAAATGGATGATATAAGAAAGAAACAAACACACAAAAAAGTAAATGATATAAGAAAGAAAAAAGAAAGAAAGAAATGGATGATATAAGAAAGAAAGAAAGAAAGAAGGAAAGAAAGAAAGAAGGAAAGAAAGAAAGAAATGGATGATATAAGAAAGAAAGAAAAAAGAAAGAAAGAAAGAAATGGATGATATAAGAAAGAAAGAAAGAAAGAAAGAAAGAAAGAAAGAAAGAAAGAAAGAAAGAAAGAAAGAAATGGATGATATAAGAAAGAAACAAACACACAAAAAAGTAAATGATATAAGAAAGAAAGAAAGAAAGAAAGAAAGAAAGAAAGAAAGAAAGAAAGAAATGGATGATATAAGAAAGAAAGAAAAAAGAAAGAAAGAAAGAAAGAAAGAAATGGATGATATAAGAAAGAAAGAAAGAAAGAAAGAAAGAAAGAAAGAAAGAAAGAAAGAAAGAAATGGATGATATAAGAAAGAAACAAACACAAAAAAGTAAATGATATAAGAAAGAAAGAAAGAAAGAAAGAAATGGATGATATAAGAAAGAAAGAAAAAAGAAAGAAAGAAAGAAAGAAATGGATGATATAAGAAAGAAACAAACACACAAAAAAGTAAATGATATAAGAAAGAAAGAAAGAAAGAAAGAAAGAAAAAAGAAAGAAAGAAAGAAAGAAATGGATGATATAAGAAAGAAAGAAAGAAAGAAAGAAAGAAAGAAAGAAAGAAAGAAAGAAAGAAATGGATGATATAAGAAAGAAACAAACACACAAAAAAGTAAATGATATAAGAAAGAAAAAAGAAAGAAAGAAATGGATGATATAAGAAAGAAAGAAAGAAAGAAAGAAAGAAAGAAAGAAAGAAAGAAAGAAATGGATGATATAAGAAAGAAACAAACACACAAAAAAGTAAATGATATAAGAAAGAAAAAAGAAAGAAAGAAAGAAATGGATGATATAAGAAAGAAAGAAATGGATGATATAAGAAAGTAACAAATACACAAAAAAGTAAATGATATAAGAAAGAAAGAAAGAAAGAAAGAAAGAGAGAAATGGATGATTTAAAAAAAGAAAGAAAGAAAGAAAGAAAGAAAGAAAGAAATGGATGATATAAGAAAGAAACAAGCACAAAAAAGTAAATCATATAACAAAGAAAGAAAGAAAGAAAGGGGTGTTATAAGATTGAAAGAAAGAAATGATATCAGAAACAAACAAACAAACAAAAAAGAAATGATGTAAGAAAGAAAGAAAGAAAGAAAGAAAGAAAGAGTGGAAGAAAAAAGAAAGGAAGAGAGAAAGAAAGAATTTATACGCGAACATAATAGGAAAATTTCATAAACAAAACGGCAAAAACTTATACGATTCAAGTGAAGAAAAGGGTAAATTTTCAGGGGAAAATAATTAAATTAAAAGAGAGTGAAAGAGAGAAAAATTTGTGGCTGATACTCTCCACCAAAATCTACAGGATTTACTTAAATTAACTTCCCAAAATGTTGACTTGGGAAAAACAAAAATTTGCAATTTGTTTTTGTTGGTAGTTCATGAACCAAGATATTTTGTTTGTAACAGATTATAAACAAACACACATTATTAACACTATGATTGGTCAAAAAGTGACGCCTGCTAATAGTAGAAACACGAAAAACAAGTAAAAAAAACACAAACAAAAGCCTTAGGATTTCAGATCGACAAAGCCTCCTTCTTTCTCATTCATAGTACGAGGCACGCTCAAAAACTAATGCATATTCTTTAATTACAAATTGTTTAAGAGTAGAAAAAAATTGTTTTAATTTTTTTTAATTTTTAATTAGAATAATTTATAAAGTTTAAATCTTTTAAAGTTCTGTATTAATTTTTAGTAGTCAACTCATATTGTTATTAAATGAAAACTATATTTACTAATCATAAGTGGAAATGCTTACTACAATTCAGAAATCCCCAGTATTTTAAAAAGAATTTTTAAGTGTTGTGTGTGTATATATAAACGTGCTGATTTTTATAAATACGGACGTCCATACACGTCAGTTAGTCAGTTATATGCCATGCGTGATACACGCTTAGGCGATCATGTATCTTTCGATATATGACTGACGATGCAGAATTTTTCCCGCAGTAGGTTGTCATTTCTTTCTGCGATAGACCAGTTTCTATCCGAGACTACAGAACCCGGTCTGTCCTGTTATTTACCCATCGCTGGGGAGAGAGGAAGAAGATTCATACCTTTCCTAAGAGTGTTAGCCCGTAAGTGGATGCAGTGGATTCGACTGGGATTCGAACTCGGTTCTCCGATCCCTCAATCCGAGCCATTATCCATTACACAACATTATCATAAAATAAGAGTGCTAAGTAAATTGAAAATTTATTTGTAATTTTCTAACTTTCCCTAAATAAGCGCCTTCGTATGAAATACTATAAATCCAAAGTACTTAAAATTCAATAAACTATTAGAATGTTTTAAATTTAAAATATTTCAAATTTTTAAGATTACTGGGTAGTTAAAAAAAAGAATTTTACGGTGTATTCATCATGTTATTTTACTACAAGTATTTGCCCCTTACATAAATCTCGCAAATATCAATTTATCGATAGATGTGACAATACCTCATAAAAAACCCACCTCTGTGTTAGTATTTTTTTTTTTTTTTGCGATATTTTAAACTAAAAGTAATGTTTGTTTTAATTCAGATTAATTACATTTTAAGTCAGTTAATCTTCCTCAAATAAAGTTTCGGAAAAGTATATTTTATTTTTGAAAGATTTTTTTTCTAATATCGAGAATTATGCTGACAGATTAATCCATATGGATGATTTTAGCAATTTTACTGATAATTCAAACCAAACAAAAGATCATTCCAATTAATTTAAATTCGGTTTGAAATGCAGCCAACTATTTTGCTAATTGGAAATATTAAATTCACGATGTTAGTTTGTCATTAAAGCTAAAGTAAAACTTTTAAGAAAGATTTTTCATTTTTAAAAATGCGTTCTAAACTTTGGCATTGTTTGTTTTATTTTATTTTATCTTAACGTACGGAAAATTAAATATCTGGGGAGTGTTTTAAAAGTGGACGGAAAGTGTAACACTAAAATCCGAAGACGTATTGGGATACTCAAAGCTGCATTCCAAAAGCTAAGCAAAGTATTAAGAAACAGAAAAACTTCGCTAGAAACAAGGAAAAGAGTATTAGACTGTTACGTGATATCTATCCTCCTATATGGCAGTGAGTGATGGACAATATTTTCAAAGATGATGAAGAGACTTGAAGCAACAGAAATGTGGTTCTGTAGAAGGATGCCATGGATCGAGTGAGCAACAACAAAAATTTAGAGAAAGTGGAAACAAAAAAAAATATACTTAACCAGGAAGAGACAATTGATGTCTCTAGGGCACATAATGAGGAGAGGGGGCTTGAAAAATCTGATTCTCACAGAACAGATTGAAAGCAAGAGAGACAGAGGAAAACAGCGGTATAAAAATAAATACACACAATACGTCTATATTATTCAATTAAACATGTTTGAATTAAGGTATGCTGGACACGCGCGCACACACACACACACACACACACACATATACATATATATATATATATATATATATATATATATATATATATATATATATATATACTTTACAACTGGAATTAAGATGCCTTTAGTTAATGATCATTTTCACCTACGAATTTTAATTTTTGAAACTGCTTATGGTATCAGTTTGTAATGGTATACTGGTTAGTTGGGGAAAGAAAGAGAGAGGGCGTTATAGGGGACTTAGTGGGAGATGGAGAGATTATATATATATATATATATATATATATATATATTTAACCACCATACTTCCCTGTCGCCATTAGCATGGCTGATGCTCGAGAGCGTCTCACTGCACCTTTCTGGGCTCATGTTTTCTACTGACTTAAAGTGGAACAACTACATTGGAACAATAGCTGCATCTTCTGCCAGGAAAGATGGTTCATTGTGCTGTGCCAGAAGGTATTTTTCTCATCAGAGTCCATTTTGCACATTTACAAAACTGCAACTCGACCTTGCATTGAATACTGTTGTTATATTTGGTCTGGTGTTCCTGCTGTTCATCTCGAGGTTCTTTACCAAATCCAAAGAAGGATCTAAAATGTAACTGATCCTAACTCGGCATCACGACTTCGATCACTTTCTCGAAGACACGATGTGGCTTCCCTCTGTCTTTTCTACAAATATTTTCATGGCAACTGCTCTGACGAGCTTTTTTTCCCTGGTGCCCCGACTACATGACTTTTAGCGTGCCACTAGATTGGCATATAGGTCCCATCCTTTTACTGTTGAAATAGTTAAATGTAACTGCCACTTCTACTCAAACAGTTTCTTTTCTCGAACTTCCCTACACTTACTTACACTTACTTGCTTCCCTCATAACTAGAATCTTCAAAAACTTATATATGACGTCAATCGCCATCTTCTGTTGTCTTGAACCCCGCCCAGCTTTGATCCTTTTCTCAATCCACCCTATACCCACTCTTTTTCCTCGTTTTCCCCCTGTGTGCTAGTGACACTCCCGCTTTTGTTGGGATGAAATGATTAATATACCTTGATAATCGCGGTAGAGTGAAACTCGAGTTGCGCTCTGAACTTTATTTCTTTCTAAGTCCTAACGCGTATTTGCTGTCTTGGTAATTTAGACATAGAGTACTGTATATTACTGTTTAAGTAAGTGTCATGGTTGGGATGAAGTGATTATAAAATATATATATATATATATATATATGTGTGTGTGTGTGTGTGTGTGTGTGTGTGTGTGTGTGTGTGTGTGTGTGTGGCGATATAAAATTCATAACAACAACTATTCGGTGGGGAAGGAGGGAAATTAAAAAGATATGCTAATTCTAAAAAGAAAGAAAGAAAGAAAGAAAAAAAGAAAGAAAGGCTAACGAAGAAGAAATATCTTAGAAACAAGTCGTATGTAAATATCAAGGTCGAAAAAGGATAATTTTCGTGAACATGGACTTTGACTATGTTTTTTCTCACAACTGCCGCTAAATTATGTCGCATTAGATTTTTCACTTGTTGTCTCAGAGATAGAGAAGTTCGAGCAGGAGAAAGAAGAATGCAAAAATAAACCTGTCGCATTCTTGTCTCTGCAGTTTCCGCTCTAACCCCATAGCCACCAACCCTTCCACTTTTTTCACGCCAAAATGTTTTTCTTGAAAAGTTTTTTAGCCTTTCTGGATAATATGAGTCGTCAAACCTTGTGACTGCGCCTTTACTTTATACAAAATGTTTTTAATTTTTTTTTCAACTCACTTCAACAATAAGCAGGTCACTTCAACAATAAGCATAGCACAAAGCAATAAATGTTGACTGTTGACTATCTTGAGAATCTAACTCACTTGAAGTATTATTAGTCAACGAGACTAGCTTCACTGATTTGCGACGAAGTTTTGAAATATATATATATATATATATATATATATATATATATATATATATATATATATATATATATATGTCGTATTAAATTGTGAGAGTGTCAGGTGGCAAAATTGGTGATTCTTTTTCCGTCGTTTACTGATGGAAAGACATTTTAGGCAGGCAGGTTTTTGGTTTAAAGTGCTCGATATCAAAAGATAAGTTTCATGAGAGGGTTGATGTAATGCTTTCACTTTCAGGGCCATTGGAGAAGACAATAGCCTTAAAAAAATGAATGCATTGCAACAATACGCTAACGAAACTTCGAAGTCGGCATGACAGAAATAACAACACTGATTTAAATGACAGTTTCTCCACATTAATTCTTATATATATATATATATATATATATATATATATATATATATAATTGAACATTGAAGTCAACACTTAGAGGCGACAGGCTATTTCATGCTGGATGCAATATTCAGGCGGCCTGGCGAGTGCGTCCAGTATGAAACAGCCTGTCGCCTCTGATTGTTGACTTCAATGTTCTTTTATATTTATATTTACATACACTCTATCTCTGATATTGAGCACTTTATCCCATAAATATAGCACACCTTAAAACTATATTTCTTCATATATATATATATATATATATATATATATATATATATATATATATATATATATATATATAACAGTGTATATGGAGTGTTAAAAGATTTTTTTTTAATAGGA